TTCTTATAAACATTTTATCATAACATAGTGATTGACAATTGAGTTAAAAAGTCTAGGTTTTCAGGATATCTTATACATGAATGCTATTTTATATACATAAGATATTCTATATTGGTTCAGATTGAACAATTCCACTGAGAAATAGACTTATCTTTAATAGGCTGAATAGGAACTAGTATTAAAGTACTATACACTAAACTGAGGGCCACAGATGTTTCCAACGGATTTTCTCATTTGGAAGGAAACCTAAACTTTATTTCCTTTGAAAGTGCAGCCTTCTCAAATTAAAAAAAAAAATTTTTTTACTATCAATTGGGATTTTTTAGAAAAAATTTAAAAAATTCTGAGTAGCTGGGACGCCTGGGTGGCTCAGTTGGTTAAGCAGCTGCCTTCAGCTCAGGTCATGATCCCAGCGTCCTGGGATCGAGTCCCACATCCGGCTCCTTGCTCGGCGGAGAGCCTGCTTCTCCCTCTGCCTCTGCCTGCCATTCTGTCTGCCTGTGCTCGCTCTCTCTCCCTCTCTCTCTGACAAATAAATAAAATCTTAAAAAAAAAAATTCTGAGTAGCTAAAGTAATTCTAATTATTACATATATTCACAAAGGATTATTCATAATATTCATAAAGGAATAATTCAAATTCATTTCCTAATATGAAGGGGGAAATATAGGGGGCTAGATGCCACTGAAACACCTAGCTGGTGGGCCTTACATTGTCTAGGAAGCCAGAAGTCTGGAGGAAATGTTTAAGTTGAAACCTAAGGGCCGGGAAGAACTAGACAGGCAAATGAGGTCACTTGGCTGAGATCTGAAAGGCAACTAGTTGCAGAAGCATAAATCCTCTGAGTATGAACACTATCTCTAAATGGGATAAAACTGATTCCCTCCCACATTCTTTTCCCATTTCCTCCCATTTCTTTTTTTTTTTTTTTTAAGATTTTTATTTATTTATTTGATAGAGAGAGACACAGTGGGAGAGGGAACACAAGCAGGGGAAGTGGGAGAGGGAGAAGCAGGCTTCCCGCTGAGCAGGGAACCAGATGCGGGGCTCGATCCCAGGATCCTGGGATCATGAAGAAGGCAGATGCTTAATGACTGAGCCACCTAGGCGCCCCATTTATTTTTTTCAAAGTAAATTTTCTTCCCAAGTGATTTTTAAAAATTTTTGTTTATTTGGGGGTGGGAGTGGGTAGGGAGACAGAGGAGAGATAGGGGAGGGGCAGAGGAAGAGGAAGAGAGAGAATCCTAAGCAGGCTCCAAGCCCAATGCAGAGACCTATGTGGGACCTATCTCATAACCCTGAAAGCATGACCTGAGCTGAAATCAAGAGTTGGGAGGCTTAACCCACTGAACCACCCGGGTACCCCTTCCCAAGATTTTTTTTTTTTTTTTTTTAAAGTAAGCTCTATGCTCAACACGGGGCTTGAACTCATGACTCGAGATCAAGAGTTGCATGCTCTACCAACTAAGCCAAGTACTGTTTTTCCCAAGTGATTTTGTAAAAAAAATCTTCAAACTTCCTAACTTACAAACAATAGCAATCTATTATAATAGGCTCCATGAAACTCTATTAAGTAAGTATTTCTTGGGGCACTTGGTGACTCAGTTGAACATTTGACTTCGGCTCAGGTTATGATCCCAGGGTCCTGGGATTGAGCCCCACATCGGGCTCTCTGCTCAGTGGGGAGCCTGCTTCTCCCTCTCCCTCTGCCTGCTGCTCCACCTGCTTGTGCTGTCAAATAAAAAATCTTAAAAAAAAAAAGTATTTCGTGGTACGCCTGGGTGGCTCAGTTGGTTAAGTGACCAACTCTTGGTTTGGGCTCAGGTCCTGATCTCAGCGTGGTGGGACTGGGCCCCAAGTCGGGCTCCCCGCTTGGCACAGAATCTTCTTCAGATTCTCTCTCGCACTCCCTTTGCCCCTCCCACTCATGTGCTCTCTCTCTGGAATAAATATATCTTTAAAAAAAATACACATTATTTCTTAATATAACACAAAAGCCCTTCTAGAAAAACGATTTGTTGCATATGTCCATATATTCCACATTTTACACTCCATGCCTCACAGTATTTATCTAAGTCTGGGGTCAAGCTTATTTTTAGCTAGTACCCTGAGGCTGACTTTCCTGTACAAAAGTAAATTCAAAAGAAATTCAGAGATTAACTGTCTTGCTTGCCTATGGCTTATGTCTGTACCCTTAGAAGGCAGCAGATTAGAAAACCAGGCAAGCCATTTCTTCTATATTGGTCCTTCACACTGGTATTTTTTGTCACACATGTACCTCACGTATCAAGAAGGCAGTATTAGAGTTAGAATTCAGTATTACAATTAAGGAAAAGATCAATCAAACCTATAACCCAGACCTCAAAACACTGGACTGTAAGAGCAAATATCTTGAAATTTATTCTTTATAAATATATTTACTAAACAAAGAAGGAAACAAAATATTCAGGAGCAAAGCTCAGCTACTGCTTTAAAAATAGGAACTATTTTAGGGCACCTGGATGACTTAGGTCATGTGATTATTGAGTTCAGGATCATGAGTTTGAGCCCCACGTTGTGTGTGGAGGTTACTAAAAAAATATTATAATCAACTTTTTTAAAAGATTTTATTTATTTATTTGACAGACAGAGATCACAAGTAGGCAGAGAGGCAGGCGGGGCGGGGGGGGAGCAGGCTCCCCACAGAGCAGGGAACCCTACATGGGGCTCAATCCCAGGACCCTGGGATCATGACCTGCGCCAAAGGCAACCACTAAACTGACTGAGCCACCCAGGTGCCCCAAAATAATAAACTTTAAAAAAGAAAGAAATTTAAAAATATATCAATTATTTTAACTATGCTGGCAAGTTTTTTTTTTAAAGGATTATACATAGAAAAAGATTGTAAGTCAATAGCTGAGTAGAAATGCCAATATTAGAGACATTATCACAAACTACACAAGGAAATTTCTATTTAGAAAACATTTTCTAGGGGCGCCTGGGTGGTTCAGTCAATTAAGCATCTGCCTTCGGCTCAGGTCATGATCCCGGAGTTCCAGGATCAAGCCCGGAATTGGGCTCTCTGCTCAGCAGGGAGTCTGCTTCTCCCTCTGCCCCTTATCCCCCTTGTGCTGTCTTTTCCCCTCTCTCAAATAAATAAATAAAATCTTTAAACAAACAAACATACAAGAAAAAAACCCCAAACGTTTTCTAGCTGCTTTTTTTTTTTTTTCCCTATTTGGTATTGCCTTGGTTACATAAATGCACTTAAGTGGAAGGCGGATGTTCCAAGTGAAACAATACTTTAAAGATATGAAGGGGCACCTGGGTGGCTCTGCGGGTTAAAGCCTCTGCCTTCAGCTCAGGTCATGCATGATCCCAGGGTCCTGGGATTGAGCCCTGCATCAGGCTCTCTGCTCAGTGGGGAGATTGCTTCCCCATGCCCCTGCCTGCCTCTCTGCCTACTTGTGATCTGTCAAATAAATAAATAAAATCTTTAAAAAAAAAAAGATATTGAAAGGTATCTAAATTCAGTTTCCTTAATAGCATGTACCTTCTAAGCTATAGATTTCAGTATGTGTAACTGGGAAATTACTATGGTACTATTTTGTTTGGTAATTTTTTCAATTTTTTTTTCTTTTTTTAGATTTTATTTATTTGACAGAGAGAGACACAGTGAGAGAGGGAACACAAGCAGGGGGAACGGGAGAGGGAGAAGCAGGCCTCCTGCAGAGCAGGGAGCCTGATGCGGGGCTTGATCTCAGAACCCTGGGATCATGACCCAAGCCGAAGGCAAATGCTTAACGATTGAGCCACCCAGGAGCCCCAAGGTTTTTCATTTTAAATTTTATTTATTTGTTTGACAGAGAGAGACACAGTGAGAGAGGGAACACAAGCAGGGGAGTGAGAGAGGGAGAGGTAGGCTTCCCTCCGAGCAGGGAGCCCGATGCCAGGCTTGATTCCAGGACCCTGGAATCATGACCTGAGCCGAAGACAGACGCTTAATGACTGAGCCACCCAGGTGCCTGACAAACACCTAATCTAAGATTCAATTCATTTCAGAAATAAATCATATAATCTGTAAGGTTACTTTTTTTTTTAAAGATTTTATTTATTTATTTGCCAGAGCAAGCAGGCAATGGGGTGGGGCGGGGAGCAGGCTCCCTGCCTAGCAGAGAGCCTGATGTGGGGCTCCATCCCAAGACCCTGGGATCATGACTTGAGCCGAAGGCAGAGGTCTTAACCCACTGAGCCACCCAGGCACCCCTGTAAGGTTACTTCTAAGATTCTGTAACTATTTGTATTTCCTTACATGCATGCTACTTGATTTCTTTGCATTTTAGCTACATAAATGAATCAGGAAACATGCACAGTAAATAAAAAATGTCTTCGTCCCACTGACAAGCACGAAGGAACACACACATTTTAGGAATATATATGTATTTTAAAGGATTCAATCGTACTTCCGTAAGCAAAATCATGGATACAGGATGAGAAATACCTTAAGTTACAGTCAACACAGATTGTTTAAGTTAAAGACTTACATTGTGTGTTTATATACATAACATGTTACAGCATAAAATCACACCCAACTTTGCTCTCTTCAGGTACAAGTTAAATATATGTTTGTTGAATGGTATCATCTCTGGAGGTCTGAATATTGGGTGCGAGTGGGGATTCTAGGTTTCCTTGGGTCTCAAGAGCTCATCTCACTCCTTCAGTACTTCTCTTCCCGTTTTCCTTCTTCTTACACAGAATTGCCGTTCTTAAATTTAATATCCAATTTTCACCACTTGTTCATGTCACATGGTTCTTTCGAATGTTATTGTCCAAGAACTGACATGTATTTTTTATAACAAGCAGAAGCCAAAAGATGTAGACATCACACAATTTCATTCAATGGTTATTTAAAAAGTAGAAAGCAATAAAAATTCTGTTGCCAACTTAGAGGATTTTATATATCATTAAGTGTTCTAATTTATTTCCATGGTCTGAAATTTATTTCTCATTCAAGAAAACAGATTCATTTCTAAACATTTATTGTATCTTTCTTTGCTGGAAACAGAAGAAACGTTTTTTTCTTTGACAAGGTTGTCCTAGGGGAATAAAACAAATACTTTTCCAAATTAGAGCGCAAGTCTTTCCTAAATGTCACTGTGTGGTAATTCAGATATAGTAGCAGCCTTTAAAATTTCATAAAAGCTACTGTTAAGATGGTGGTTTGGGCCGTTTTGCAGATGGTCCATCTGAGTTAGATCTGTTACCAGTGTTATTTTCATCTTCTGCATCATCTTCATCATCACCTTTTAAAATAAATATTGTTGTATGACAATATGTTTGATGGTTCAAAGAAAGAGACTGCTAAAATGGTTGATAATGATATTTCAACTTTAAGGGTTAATAAAATCATGCATATAACAGATTAAAGTATGTATGGTTAAAAAGATTTCAAGAATTTTGGTGTTTGAAATATTTCTTATCACTTTTTTTGGGAGATAAAATTCGTAGACCATAAAATTCACTCGAAGGTATATGAATTGTACCTCCAAAAAAAGTGATGATAGATTTTAAATTTTAAGGTGTACAATTTATTGATTTGTTGTATATTCCCTAGGTTGAGCAACTGTCACCACTATTTAATTCTAGAACATTTTCATCATCCCAGAAAGAAATCTCACACCCATTAACAACCGCTTTCCATTCCCTTTAGCCTTTGGCCACCTCTAATCCACTTTCTACTTCCATAGATTTGTCTATTCTGGACATTTCATATAAATGGAATCATAAAATATGTGGCCTTTTTGTCTGCCTCTCTTCACTCAACGTTTTTTTAAGGTTCATTCACACTGTAGTGTTTATTGGTACTTCCTTTTTATTGTTGAACAGTACTCCACTGATGGATACATCACATTTTGTTTATCCACATCAGGTGATGGACTTCTGTGCTGTTTCCAATTTTTAGTTATTATAAAACAGTGCTGCTACGAACATTCATGAATAAGCTTTCATGTGAACGTATGTTTCCAGTTCTCTTTGTGCAGAGCTAGGAATGGAATGAGTGGAATTTCTGGGTCATATAACTTTATGTTTAACTTTTTGAGGAGCTGCCGAACTGTTTTCCAAAGAAGGTATAACATTTCATATTTCCACCAGCAATGTATAAGGCCTCCAATTTCTTCACATCCTAGCCAGCACTTGTCATTGTTCTTTCTGTTTATAGCCATCCTAGTGAGCATGATGGGTTTTTTATTGTGGTCTTCATTAGCATTTTTCTGATGGCCAATGACGCTGAACATCTTTTCATGAGCTTACTGACCATTTGTATATCTCATCTGGAGAAATGTCTATTCAAATCCTTTGCATATTTGATAACTGGATTATTTGTAATCCAATTTCACTACTTAGTACTTTTTAGAGTTCTAACACTTTTTTTAGTAATTGTTATAATTTTTAAATTTTGGACATTTGTTGAGATAGAATTCCTATGACACAAAATGTACCATTTCAATCTCTATTACTTTTAACAAAGGAAATTCAAACCTAAGCTTTATGGGGTCTTCATTTAATATACAAAAACATGTTCTCCAATACAAAGATATTAGAGACCTGCCATTAATGGAATAGGTGGCAGTTATTTTTCCAGTAAGTGATGATATTTTAAGAAATGGCTCTAGCTATATTCCAATGACAACACTTTCAACAGATTAGAGAAGTACTTCTGGAGCCAAGAAACAGGACTTCACTTTCAAGGTAGGTGGCAACACCCAATTAACATATTCATGGCACCAGTCTATTGTCTGCACTCAGTATAATGGTCTGAGTTCACATTATCTGTAACTGTCAAGATGTAAACAAGATGGGAAAAAAAAAAAGTACAGTACAGTTTAAGCCCCTCTTTAGAGGCGTTAAGTCCTGACTCAAGAATTTAATTCTTGGGTTCTTCAGCTCAGGGCAGAAAATGTACCTTACCTTTTTTTGTATTCACCTGAATTTCACATTTCTCCTTTCAAACTGTGCCTTCTAAAATGGGATAGAGGAAGGGAGTCCCTGGGAGTTAGAGCTCCTTAAACTGACGTCTTCAGGACCTATTCTGCGACAGATGGCAGTCTCCCTAACATGTTTGTACTTTCAACCCCGGAATGCTCATTTTCATCCTTCAACCCCCAACTCAAAAGTCATGCCCCTTTCCTGGGTCCTCTGAGCGTGCAGTATTTACAGAGGGCCCTGGGGTCATACTTCTAGTCTGTAGTAAGTGTTTGCTTATCTAACCCCACCAGCCCGAGAGTTCCACAAGGCCAGGAACTGAGCGGCATTCACCTCATTCTTTTTCAAGAGCACAGCCCAGTGCCTGGCAGAGTACTAGGCACTCAGCATGTTTTTTTTTTGTGTGGCATAAATGGAAAGAGTCGCGAAAACGCCTAAGTAGAAGCAGCCCAGATAACACGATAACAATTTTTAGTTGGATTCTTGTTCCCTCGAGGCTTTCTCCAAGTCGGCCACTCTCCCCGGGCTCCCCTGCCCCGCCCTCCTGTCGCTCCAGCACCTTCTCAGGGCTCACCGTCCGTGGCCTCTTCTGGAGCCGCCGCCTCCTGGTCTTGCGCTTCCTGCTGTACGAGGGGGCCGAAGAGCTCGATCACCAGCTCTCTCATCTGGGCCACACCAGCCAACAGGCCCTGGAAAGGGTCCGCGTCGCCCGGCGCCTCACAGGGCACCCGCAGCAGCTGCTGCTGCCCATCCAGCCCGACGTACTCGCCCGACAACTCCATGACGATCGCGGAGCTTCCACAGCAAGAGCCTGGGAAGTACCATCCGGAAGCGGAAGTCAGCACGCGGAGGGCGCAGGCGGGCGCAGGCGGGCCAAGGGAGAGGAGTGACTTCCGTTTGTCGGGAGTCGCTCCTCCTCCTTCCTTCTCTTCCCTTCTTTGGGATTGGCTCTTAGCACTGGGCTCCGCCTCCTCCGGCCACGCCTCCCGCAGCCGCTTTTCCCGCCTCCGCCGGGCCGAGCGGCGGTCCCGCTGACAGTTGAGGATGGCCGGGGCGGAGGGGTCCGCTGGGCGGCAGTCGGAGCTGGAGCCCGTGGTATCGTTGGTCGACGTTCTAGAGGAGGACGAGGAGCTGGAGAACGAGGCGTGCGCCGTACTGGGCGGCAGCGACTCCGAGAAGTGCTCCTACTCGCAGGTGGGCGCGCGGCCCGGGCCTCGCCTCCCCCGGGCTCCCGCCGAACCTCCTGTTCCCGACCCGCCTTGCCCTCTTCCCGCCGTTCGTCGTAGGCTTCCCCGTCCCAGGCCCAGCTGCCCTTAAACCTCAGCCTCCTGGGTCCTCCTTCTTAGCCTGTAGCCAGCAGGGCCCCCCTCCTCCCTCGGTCTTCCTTCGTCCGGTCCCTCGGGATTCTGCAGGCTCCGGCCGTGGGGCCCCTGCTCTTTCCTTCCTCTCCCGTCTCTCCTCGGTGCCTCGGCTGCTTTTCAGAAACCGTCTCCGTGACCCCTCAGATCCCGACATCTTTGTCCTTACTTTTCGCGTCCTAAGAGTGTTTCTTAGGAAGCGAATGGGGAGAGTCAAAGCAGAGTTAAAGGAGAGAGCTCAGGATTTGAAAAAGCTCCCCCTGGGCTGGTTCCTTGACAGGTAATCCTCTACAATTGAGCTTGACAAGCGCTAGCTCGTAGTTTTTTTTGGCCAGACGAAGCAAGTACAGTGTCTATTTGCATCCCGCCCCCCGCCCCCCGCCCCCCATGGAAACAGACCGGAACCGCGACAGCAGGTGGCACAGGCGAAGGAGGGGAGGAAAGGAGAGGATTTGCTTGAAGGGTAAATTTGGCATTTGGAAGACGTTGTGAATCAGGATTTGAGGGGGTGCGTTGCAGTGTTTGGTGACTCGTCCTGTATTTCTAGGTACAAAAATGGAGCAAGGTGGGTAGAAGGAATCTACTCGGGATGAGAATTGGTAGGAAGAAGGAGGTTACCCAGACTCTGGGAGATGCGTGGAACATTGGGGGACGAGGCGAGAGACTTGGGGCCATCGTTATGTGGTGCAGACTGAGCTCATAATACCACTTGTCATCGTTGACCGGTTGAGTTTACCCTGCGCAGTGGTTAGATTGTTGAATTAACCTGGTATCTACAGATAGTCCCAGATGTTGGCTGCTATTTTAAAACCTTTGGTCACCATTGAAACAACTTTTTCTCTTTAAGAAAAAAAAGTGTCTGTAAGCCTTTCTAGAAATGTAGTTAGCTTTATAAAAAAGACGTCTTAAAAGTTTTCTTTTTACTGTAGTAAAATATGTGGAAAATTACATGAGTCATGTCTATGGGTTGGGGGAAAAAGTGAACATAAGTATGTACCTACTAACCGCGGGTCCCCCAGATCAAGAAATAGAACATTAAGGGCATCCTAAAAGATTCTGTCTCCCTCCTTGCTAGAGGAGGGTAACCACTGTCAAGATTTCTAAAAGTATTGCCTGTTTTTCCTCCCAACTTTTAATTTTGAAAAAATTTAAATCTACAGGTATGTTGAAAGAATAATATTACGAACACCTGTGTATCTCTTACATGTATTCATTTTTTGCCACATATGTTTTATCTCTCTTTTCTATATAATACACTTTTTCCCCCCGAATCATTTGAAAATAAGTTGCAGACACAATGACACTCTAAATATTTCAGCATGCACCTCCTAAAGTCAAAAGGATTCTTTTAATGCATTGATTTTCTCTCTGGCAGAGTCACAAGTGTTTTCCAAAATTATAAGTGTGATAATGCTTACATAAACCTGTACATATTCTCCTATATTTTCATGTGTTAAAATCTTGTGCAGACCAGCTTTTTTTTATTTCCAGCTGGCTGGGAATTTAAAACTATCATTTTAAGAAAAAATTGTATGAAAATGAGCACCAATATAAGACATATATAATGATTTGAAACATGCAACGGTGTTTTGGTACTTTCTTGTGTAACTATTCTCTCTTAACATTTTGGGGCTGTCTTTTAGGGCTCAGTAAAGAGACAAGCACTATATGCCTGTAGTACATGCACCCCAGAGGGAGAAGAACCAGCAGGAATTTGCCTAGCTTGCAGTTACGAATGTCATGGAAGTCATAAACTATTTGAGCTATACACAAAAAGGTAAAGACAGAGATTGGCGCTGAATGCTTTTTAAGTGTTTGAATTCTTTCCCACCTGTACTGTTTTTCTTGTTTTCCCATTTAAAGTAGTTGTGCACTGGTCAAATTTAATGTAATTGTTTAATTGGAGAGAACAGTTTTTCCAGAGGGCCTTTTAAAGTATAATTACTGTATAAACTCAAACTGTCCTCCTTCCTCTGCCATTGTTTTACTTGTCTGTTTGTGTATGTGGGATATAAATATTTGTCTCTGTGCATGTTTATTTTATTGTTATATGCTTGGGGAAATTTTAAATTGGATACATGAACAACAACCAAGATCACTTTTTGGGCTTGGTATTAATTTAAAGAGTAACTCATTAGATTTAAAAGAAAAATTAAAAGCGTTTTTTCCTCATTTTTTCCAGAAACTTTCGTTGTGATTGTGGGAACAGCAAGTTTAAAAATTTGGAATGCAAATTATTTCCTGTAAGTAAGCACTGTAACTAAAAATGCATTGAAAATAGCTGAGACTGATATTTGTGAGAGTGGATTAAAACTATGCATTTTCTTGGGATTGGGAGGGAGACAAACCATAAATGACTCTTAATCTCACAAAACAAACTGAGGGTTGCTGGGCAGAGGGGGGTTGGGAGGGGGGGGTTATGGACATTGGGTAGGGTATGTGCTATGGTGAGTGCTGTGAAGTGTGTAAACGTGGAGATTCATAGACCTGTACCCCTGGGGGGGAAAAATATATATATATGTTTATAAAAAATAAAATTATAAAAAAAAAACAACTATGCATTTTCCAAAAAGGAAGTTCTTTTTTTTTTTTTTTTAAGATTTTATTTATTTATTTGACAGATAGAGATCACAAGTAGGCAGAGAGGCAGGCAGAGAGAGAGAGAGGAGGAAGCAGGCTCCCTGCCGAGCAGAGAGCCCGATGCGGGACTCGATGCCAGGACCCTGGGATCATGACCCGAGCCAAAGGCAGAGGCTTTAACTCACTGAGCCACGCAGGTGCCCCCCAAAAGGAAGTTCTTATGCTTATTCTTTGCAAATAGGCAAATCAGTATTAAACTGTATTCCATTTTTTATTTTGTTGGAAAACTAACCTGTTTAGAGCCTATATTACAGATTGTAATTATTATGAAATATTTTGGTGGGGATGTTCTTTGAAGTAACTCAGGTTTGATTATGTTGGTTGTGCTCATGGTTTAAGGCTTTTAAAGCAAAGGGTATGACTTTAAAAACAAAAAAAACTTGCTCGTAATGAATGTGAGCTAGATGCACACAGGAGTTTTTCACTGCTTTTTTGCTAATTATACAGTAACGTTTACTAAAGTAACAAAAGCTAAGTAGAAAGGGATTTTACACTGTCCAGTCATGATTACTATTCCATTATAATTACTATTTCCCTCCTTTCAAGGTTATTTTTAGACAATTTCCTTGCCTGCTTTTTTACCTTCCAGTAACCTGGGAGCTTTGGCAATCACAGCTGGGCATTAAGAAATACTTTGAAATTCTAGGCCAGTGTTCATTTACATGGGTCGATCATTAATATTTATAATTAACTTTTACCAGCATTTTGTTATGGATGTATTTGGTTTCCCCCAGTTACTGCAAAGAGGGTACAAAAAATTAATTTTATTTATTCTCTGTGTCTTGGAAAAAATACTCTTTTAATAGGAGTGAATTCTTTTTCTTGGTACTTTGAAAGTTAAAGACCAACTTTTGGGGAGGAAGTTATTTAATGTAGAAGTTGATTGAATGCATGGACTTCATGCAATAGGAAATTTATGATATTTATGATATTATATTCATGTTATTTATCATGCTTTACTATATTACACTGATGATATATTATAAATATAATGTATTATATGTCATATATATGATATTTGTATGGCATTTATGATAATTTATACTTTCATGATACCTGAAATTATAGTCAAAATTAGACCATATTTTACATTGAAATTAATCTCTTTCAGGACAAAGCAAAGATAAATCCTGGCAATAAATACAATGACAACTTTTTTGGATTGTACTGCATTTGTAAGAGACCTTATCCTGATCCTGATGATGAGGTAAGAGAATTAGAGGTTACTTGGAGGTTAATACCTCTAGCCTTCACTCCTCAGCCTGTTGTCCAGTCTGGATCTCTGTAGCTGTTAAGAGGGGATTTGGGGATTATGAGAGGATTCTATGTTTATCCTTTCCTAGGAGTCTGGGCTGGAGCTGTAACTGGTACAGATCTCGACTATTCTCACTCTACACCATGAGAGTGAAATATTGGACAGGACTTTCTCAAGGCCAGCACTTTCTTCCTTCCTCTCTCTCGTTGCTTGCCTGCTCTGCTCCCCCAAACATTGTCCAAAAAATGATCTTCAACTTCTTGCTTCCCTGAAAGAAAAGAAATGGGGTATACAAACTGAATCCTCTTAAAGATTTCAATATATACAAAATTTTTTTATTTTTTAATTAATTTTATTTTTTAAAGATTCTATTTATTTATTTGATAGAGAGATCACAAGTAGGCAGAGCAGCAGTCAGAGGGAGAGGGGGAAGCAGGCTCCCTGCTGAGCAGAGAGCCCGATGCGGGGCTCGATCCCAGGACCCTGAGATCATGACCTAAGCCGAAGGCAGAGGCTTAACCCATTGAGTCACCCAGGCGCCCAAAATGTTTAAAATTTTTTAAAAAGTATACACAGAATTTAGAAAGAGTTGTTCTGCTTCCTCACTCTATCTTCTTACTTCCTGGATATAACCCGTGTTAACAGTTTTTGGGGCATATGTTTTTAGACTCTTTCTTTGCCCATGTAAGTGGGTGTGTGTTTCAATGTGTAGTTTCCTTTTAACAAAAGTGAAAATTCAATACATTCACTTGTGCAGCTTTTCTCACTTATCAGTATATCACAGACCTCTTTCCACATGACACCGCACAAATCCACCTTGCTCCCAGGTCACTTCATAACGTGACCTGCTGTAAGTTAGTGACCTGGGTGTCCTGTCGCAGACTGCTGCTGTCTCATTTCTCGGCATTGTAAAGAAAGCTGCGGTGAACTTCCCTATACAGTAATATGACTGAGTGTATACCTAGAGGGAGAACCAGAGAGACTTAGGATACTTATATTTCCTGCAAAAAGAGTTCAGTTGCAAATAGTAGATGTTTTTCCCTATTCTCTTGTTAGGCCTACATACTTGCAGTCTTTTTACATTTTGCCATGTTGATAGGTGAAGAGCAGTATCTTTTAAAGATTTCCTTTCCCTGATCATGAGTGAGATTATGCATCCTACATGAGCTTATTAAATATTTGTAATAACCTATCTGAATTGTCTGTTCATAGTCTTGGCCCATATTTTGACTGGCTTTTGTTTGTGTATTTACTGATTTGAAGAAGTGCTTTTATGTTTAGAGAAATTAGCCTTTTGCCCTCTTGCTTTCTAGTTGTCTTGGAACTGTAATTATTGAACCAAATTATATAGAGGAACAAGTTGAAGATATTTTTGAGTTAACAAAGATAAAACCTTAAAACTGGGGCACCTGGGTGGCTCAGTTGTTGGGTGGCTGGCTTCGGCTCAGGTCATGGTCCCAGGGTTCTGGGACCGAGCCCCACATTGGGCTCCCTGCTCAGTGGGAAGCCTGCTTCTCCCTCTCCCACTCCGCCTGCTTGTTCCCACTCTTGCTGTGTCTCTCTCTGTCAAATAAATAAATAAATCTTTAAAAAACCCTTAAAACTGGATATTTTAAGTTATGGGGTAAAGTGTTATGACACTGTTAAACGACAGAAATAAGATGCTGAATAAATTGAACAAGGCAGAAAAAGGAATAAAACATACATATATATATATATATATATATATATATATATATATATTTTGTGTGTGTGTAGGTCTATGTATGGGCATATATAAAGATACGTATGCTTTTTCCCCCTTTAAGAAGTTATAATAGGGAAAAGGCAGAACAACATTGGGGTATTAATCAGTAGACAGGAAAGTCTGGGAATGAAAGGAAACCACTCCAAAAGAGTCTGTGCCCTTTGGTATATTGTTTTCCTAGGGCCAGAATTTAATTACTTAATTATTTAACTAATTCAAGTTAGGGAAATTATTGCTGTCCGTATTATCAAAAGACTGTTTATGATATTTACTTTCCAGTTTAAGTAAAATGAAAGGGTTGAAGAATGTGGGGTTGCCACATTCTGCATTGGTCAAGTTGTCTTACCTCCCTGGGCCTTGGTTTATGGATAAAATAAAGATGCCAAGTAACCAAAGTGAATTTTTTTTTTAAAAGATTTTATTTATTTATTTGACAGACAGAGATCACAAGTAGGCAGAGAGGCAGGCAGAGAGAGAGGAAGGAAGCAGGCTCCCTGCCGAGCAGAGAGCCCGATGCGGGGCTCGATCCTTGGACCCTGGGATCATGGCCTGAGCCGAAGGCAGAGGCTTAGCCCACTGTGCCACCCAGGCGCCCTCCAAAGTGAATTTTTGATGGTTGCTTCCAAAGTGCTCACCTCAGTGTACCCCTTCTGCAAACCAGTTCCTGGAGAGTGAGCTTCTCTGGCCCTGTGACCCGCTCCTTCTCCCTGTGCCCTTGACTGTTGGCACGTGGAGAGCAGTCTCACAGAATCGGCAGAGAATTATTTAGTATCTGCTTCTGCTGTTTGCCAGATTGACTTCTGTGTCCCTGAATTCACTGTACTCATTAACATGCGAACTGCTTTCCACATTAGATTCCGGATGAGATGATCCAGTGTGTGGTCTGCGAGGACTGGTTCCACGGGAGGGTAAGGAAAGCTTTGACCTTTTAAAGCCCTCATCTTCACGAAAAGAGAAAAGAGCTTTTCTTTTTGAATGGCATTATCTTTTACCTTATGATTACTCTTCTAAAAATAAACTATAAAGATAGGATCGGTGCTGTATTGCAGTATTTGTTTATTACATAATGAGGATTTGGGGCAACTTGGAGACCACAAGCAAAATCCTCGGTTTCCTGTATTCACAGCATCTTGGTGCCGTTCCCCCCGAGAGCGGCGACTTCCAGGAGATGGTATGCCAGGCTTGTATGAAGCGCTGCTCCTTCCTGTGGGCTTACGCTGCGCAGCTGGCGGGTACGTGTCTCTGTGGTATCAGGGTGCCCCAAACCCGGGTTCGTGACATTTCTGTGTTCAGTCCAGAATTTTTAGCAACTGTTTTTTTTTTTTTTTCCTAAATTTAAATTCAATGCATTAACTTACAGTGTATTATTAGTTTCAGAGGAAGAGGTCAGGGATTCATCAGCCTTATATAACACCCAGTGCTCATTCCATTCCGTGCCCTCTTTCATGCCAGTCACCCAGTTTCCCATTCCCCTCCCCTCTCCCCTCCAGCAACCCTCAGTCTGTTTCCTATGGTCAAGGGTCTTTTAGCAACTGTTTTTAAGTTGGAGGAGACCAGAATCAGGGAAAATGGAAGAGGAAGTTTTTGAATGGGACTTTGAAAAATAAATAGAACCAAAATAAATTGTTCTTAAATGGAAGACATGCTATTGGTTGGGAGGTGTGGGGTGTAATTTGCTACCCAGTGCTTATATTATATTATATTATGTATATACTATAGAAATTGGCCTGAAACAGCTAATCAACAATGAGTGGTCTTGAGGCATTAGGTATTTTATTTTACTGATAATGCAAATGTGTTAATTTATTTTTAGAGTGGCAGTTACTCATAGTGTTTGCTGCTCTGACCTCATAATGTCTTATCCTTCTCACCTTTAGGGAACATTTTACCATATGAACCACAAACAGCATAGCCATACCTAAAATCTAACCCTACTCTTTTGATTTGTCTCAAAGTTCTTTTTTTTCTTTTTAAGATTTTATTTATTCATTTATCAGAGAAAGAGAGAGAGTAAAAGCAGGGGGGAGCGGTAGGCAGAGGGAGAAGCACGCTCCCTGCTGAGCAAGGAGCCTGATGCAGGGCTCCATTCCAGGACCCTGGGATCATGACCTGAGCCGGAGGCAGAGGCTTTAACCCACTGAGCCACGCAGGCACTCCAGTGACTGACATTTTAATTTTTGTTTATTTTTAAAGGTTTATTTATTTGTGAGAGAGAAACCAAGATCTCAACAGACATAGCAAGAGAGAACATGAGTGGGGAGGAGAGGGAGAAGCAGGCTTCCCGCCGAGCAGGGAGCCTAGTGGGGGGCTCAATCCAGGACCTTCGGATCATGACCTGAGCCAAAGGCAGACACCTAACCAGTAAACCACCCAGGTGTCCCAAAGATGTATTTATTTAACTAATCTCTGCACTCAGTGTGGGGCTTGAACTCATGACCATAAGATCGAGTTGCATGTACTTCCGGCTGAGCCAGTCAGCTGCCCTGTGATTGACTTTTTTTTTTTTTTAATATTTTATTTGTCAGAGAAAGAGAGCACAAGCAGGGAGAGTGGCAGGAAGAGGGAGAAGCAGGCTTCCCGCTGAGTAAGAAGCTCCCCAGTGTGGGACTCAGTCCCAGGACCCTGGGATCATGACATGAGCCAAAGTCAGACTGAGCCATCCAGCGTCCTGTGACTGACATTTTTAAATGAACTGTTCAATTACTTGAACTCTGGATTAGGTAGACACAACCTAAAAAAGAGTTGATGATTCCTTTCTCTTTATTCCAAAGAATAAGGTTGACTCTCTTTTTCCAGATTCTGAAATTTTTTATAATCAGACTAAGTGATTTCTCTGTTTAATAATAATCTGGATATGTGTGTGTTTCTTTTCACTGAACCCGCAGTCACCAAAGTTTCCACAGAGGATGACGGGTTGGTGCTGAATGTTGATGGAACAGGTGATCAGGAAGTCATCAAACCCAAAAATGGAGGTCATCAAGATAGTAGCCTCAGAGAGGATGTTCCAGAATATGGAAAGGATGCGGTCCAGGAAGTCAAAGCAGAACAGACTAATGAACCATGTGCCAGCTCTAGTTCTGAATCTGATCTCCAGGTAACATAGGAAGTCTGATGCCATAAAAGAAAGAAAGCGTAAGCAAAATTAATTCTGGAAGCTCCGTAGGATTTCATGCCTAAAGAAATTCCTCTCTATAGCCTAAGCTCTGGAAACTGTGATAGTGTAAAAAACACACTTCAAAATTTCATTTCATTTCAGACAGGGTTTAAGAATCAGCATCTCAACTTGGAATCACAGTCTGGCTGCAGACTTCAAGAGCTTAATGCTAAGCGGTTTGTAAAGAAGGACACCGCCACCTATTGGCCCGTCAACTGGCGCAGCAAGTTATGTACCTGCAAAGACTGCATGGTGAGTTCGGGGTCAAGGTCACTGTTATGTTACCGTGTTTGTTATGGACCGATGCCACAAATAGGGCCATCTGGAAAATATATTTATGAAACTGTTGCTAGGACTGTAAAGAACTCTGAAATATTTTATATTAAGCAAATTTATGTAATGCTACTTGTCTGACTGCTTGTGGGAGAAATTAGGAATTATGTAGTACTTCTTATTCACTTATCTTCATTTCAGTGGAAAATAGAAGTTCTTCTCTTTTTTATATCGTAGAATTTGCTTGGAAATAAAAATACCCATGAAAGTTACATCAAGTCCGTCGTTTTTAAATAAAGACCCTGCAACACCTACTGGGAAGTTGGGAGATTCCTGAGAGAGATTTGGGCAGGAAAAATAAATCACTCAAGTGTTTCTATACTAAAGGCTCAGATTTTCTGGCAGTTGACCCGAAAACATTAAATAAATTTGTAGTGATTCTCATGAAGTTGACTTTCTGAGAATAACATACAGTTCTAATGGGAAACTGGTTTTATTTTTTGAAGAAAATGTATGGCGAGCTAGATGTCCTGTTCCTGACAGATGAATATGACACAGTTCTGGCTTATGAAAACAAGGGCAAGGTCGACCAGGCAGCTGACAGGAGAGACCCTTTAATGGACACCCTTAACAGCATGGACAGAGTCCAGCAAGTGGAACTCATTTGTGGTAAATGCTGTTTGAACAAAAATTCACAAAGCTCATTAAGGTTTCCTTAACTCTTAAAATATGTTTAGTGAGCAGTTAATTGTCGTTTTCACTTAATACAAACAAGGTTTGAAATTGGAATTATAAAGTAGCCTTCAATTACACTTGCCTGATTGTAGCGTTGCTGGGTATGCAGTGGTTGTTACCAGTGTCAGAATTACGTGCTAGAAGTGTTAGGTGCTTGAGAACCCTTAACGTGTGCTTTTTTGATTCATGGTAGATGTATGAGTAAGGAATAATAGAAAATCAGTATCTTTCTCCATCCACTGAAATGGTTTGCATTGAACATTACCCGTCCTCCAGGAAGCCACCAGAGGGGGAAATACCCCAGCCCTTGCTGGCAGACCTTTACAGATTGTCCCCCAGTGTGCCCAGCTGATTTTGGTCATTTCCATCCTGGTGTCTGCTCGGGTACCACCCCTTCAGAGGCAGTCATCATTTCTGTCTTTTGTTTTTAAATGTTTGATGAATTTCCTTTGCCTCTGGTAGACGAAAAGCTTTTCAAGGATGGAGGCTGCATCTGAAAGATTTCTGTGGCCCTCAAGGGGAGTCTCATACATAATAGAAACTATTAAGTGAGTGAATGAGTCTTAAAACCTAAAGTTTGACAAGCCCAAGATTATTTCAACTACTAGGATTCCAGAGAGATAGGAAGCCCTTTAAAAAATTCTTAGCTGAGGGGCGCCTGGGTGGCTCAGTGGGTTAAAACCTCTGCCTTCAGCTCAGGTCATGATCCCAGGGTCCTGGGATCGAGCCCCGCGTCGGGCTCTCTGCTCTGAGGGGAGCCTGCTTTCTCCTCTCTCTCTCTGCCTGCTTGTGATCTCTGTCTGTCAAATAAATAAATAAAATCTTTAAAAAAAAACTATTAGCTGACAGGGGTTCTGGCGGCTCTGTTGTTAAGTGTCTGCCGTTAGCTCAGGTCATGATCTCAGGGTCCTGGGATCAAGCCCCACATTGGGCTCCCTGCTTGGCGGAAAGCCTGCTTCTCCCTCTTCCACTCCTGCTGGTTGTGTCCTCTCTCTCTCTCTCTTTGTGTCTCTCTCTGTCAAGTAAATAAATAAAATCTTAAAAAAAAAAAAAAATCTTAGCTGGGGCACCTGGGCGGCTCAATGGGTTAAGAGTCTCCCCTTGGCTCAGGTCATGATCCTGGAGTTCCAGAATCGAGCCCTGCATCCTGCTCCCTGCTCAGCAGGGGAGTCTGCTTCTCCCTCTGCCCCTTATCCTGCTTGTGTTCTCTCTCTCTCTCAAAATAAGTAAGTAATCTTTTAAAAATTAAAAAAGTAACTTAATCTTTTTGGGCCTGAGGTTTTGTTTTTGTTTTTGTTTTTTTGTTGTTGTTGTTGTTGGTTGGTTGGTTTTTTAAAGAAGTAGGGTCCTTGATATCAAAATGAAAGAACTCAGGAGAAATTGGGACAAGTTTCTTATTTATTTGTTTATTTACTTATTTATTTAGAGAGAGAGCATGAGCAAGAGGGGCAGAGGGAGAGAATCTCAAGCGGACTCTGTGCTGAGCACAGAGCCCGATGTGGGGTTCAACCCCATGACCCTGAGATCACGACCTGAGCCGAAACCAAGAGTCAGAAGCTTAACCAACTGTGCCACCCAGGCGCCCCATAGGAGAAGTTTCAATGCACGTTTCACTTAGAGAAAAATTTAAACTATTAACATACTCAAATGTTAGTGGGAAAGAAGTACTTTGTTTCTAAAAGCACATGACTTGTCTCATGTTTACTACCTCTTTTATTGTTTTGATTTAGAATACAATGACTTGAAGACCGAACTTAAAGACTATCTCAAGAGATTTGCTGATGAAGGCACGGTATGTGAGTTAAAGAACTTTAATCATAGCCCTGTATGTTCTGAATAAACTGTTTATTTTCTTGGAGGAAAAAATGACCATGTATGTTAAACTGGAAACTTGGGTGGTGAATGCAGGCAGAGCTAAGGGAAATCAGTGAGAGGTGGGGAAAGCAGGGCCTGGCCATGCTGGGAATCCTTCCCAGCCCTGGGCTGTCGGGAATGAGGGGCAGAGCAGACATACAGGGTCTGGAGAGAGTTCGTGTAGCCAGAGAAGGCCAGGGTGTGAGCCATCCTGATTCTGCCCATCCTGACCTTCAAGTGGAGATCCTTGGAGGAGGAAGGAAAAATGACCAGGCAAGGAAAAACTAATGCCAGACCCCTCTTTTTGGATTTTTTGATTCTATAGTTTAGAATAAAAGACCTTCACAATTGGGGCTAAAACATTTTTCTTGTTCATGAGAGAGTCTATATGCTTTTAAGGGTGACACTGATTCTAAAATGTGGGATCCTCAAAACAGTCTTGCAGGTGAATTTACAAGGACTTCCTAGCTCTTTACTGTTCATACATTTGTGACAGAATGTTCTTCTGAAATACTTTTCTGGCCTCCACAGGCAGATAGAAACAAAATTTAACTTTTCTTTTGTCCTTATGGACTGTTTGCTCTGCTGTGCGCAGACACAGAAATCAAGTCAGGTGTGTCTGGCGGCTGCTGGGGAAGTGTGCTGAGATTTGGTCCCTTGGAAGGAGTCTTTGCTAGTCTGCTTGAAGCCACTTTCTCCTCACTCATAAATGTGGCAAGAGCTTAGAGCTGCCTGCAGATCTGGACAGGGTCCCAGCGCTGCCTTTCTGCTTAACGAGTTGTAAAGTCAGAAATTAAGAGTTTTCTATTTAGTAGGCATCTCATTTTTTAGAGAATGTTCCTCGTTCTCAGCCTCCCGCCTCTCAGCAGTACTTGAACTGCAGTCATTCCTGTTCCTCTGGTTAACGTAGACTCTCGCTTCTCTCTCGCTAGACCTGAGAATGTTCGTGGGACGCCTGGGTGCCTCGGTCAGTTAAGCATCTGACTGGATCTTGGTGCAGGTCTTAACGTCGGGGTCATGAGTTCAGCCCCCACTTTGAGCTCCACGTTGGGCTCCATGCTGGGCGAGGAGCCTGCTTAAAAAAAAAAAAACAAAAAACTAAGAATGTTCACAGGTATAACTGTTTAAACCTTGGCACTGTTTTTTTTTTTACTGAAGTGTAGTTAACACACAATTTTATATTGGTTTCAGGTGTCTTAACTTCTGCAGTATTCATGGGCATTTGAGGTCTTCAGAGCATGTGTGTTTTTTTGTTTTTAAAGATTTTATTTATTTATTTATTTATTTGACAGAGAGCACAAGTAGGCAGAGAGGCAGGCAGAGAGAGAGGAGGAAGCAGGCTCCCCACGGAGCAGAGAGCCCAATGCGGGGCTCGATCCCAGGACCCTGGGATCATGACCTGAGCCTAAGGCAGAGGCTTTAACCCACTGAGCCACCCAAGCGCCCCAGCATGTGTGTTCTTTTTTTTTTTTTTTTTTAAGATTTTATTTATTTATTTATTTGACAGAGAGAGCACAAGTAGACAGAGAGGCAGGCAGAGAGAGGGGGAAGCAGGCTCACTGCCGAGCAGAGAACCCGATGCGGGGCTCGATCCCAGGACCCTGAGATCATGACCTGAGCCGAAGGCAGAGGCTTAACCCACTGAGCCACCCAGGTGCCCCGCATGTGTGTTCTTGACTCTTATGTTGTACCTTTTGCTTTTGTGCAGTTTGTCATCACAAGGCCCTTTATTGATTTTACTACACACGCTTGAAATCACGTAAAAGAAAGAGCAAGCAATTTTATTCAAGGTTTTCTCCTGTGTCTTCAGTATATGGATCTTTGTCATCACTAGAGCTGCTTTTTATGAGTCTAAGATAATTTTTTTTGTATCTGATGTGATGATTTAAGAGGACAATATATTTTTTAATTGTTTGTTCTATGACATGGGTAACTAGACCTTTTTACAAAAACAAATAAGAACCTTAAGCTGCAATAAGGTTCCTCTGCTTTGGCTGTATTTGTCCTGATAAGTTGTAGATGTTCTCAGTTGAGGGACTGCCTTTTATTTTATGTTTGTGTTTGACTATAAAAGAAAGAATCCTTAGAAACTACAAAATGTCTGAGACAAATCGATGAAATGATTTATGATTGATCCCCAGTATTTATTCTTCAACATTTCTACTCTGCCTGTTGGCTGTGACCGTTTGAGGGTCTAGAAGCTTAAAATTGTGCACTCTAATTTTCATGCTTTTAGGTCACCTCTCCCAACCTTCTTCTTTTTTTTTTTTTTTTTTAAAGATTTTATTTATTTATTTATTTGAGAGACAGAGATTATAAGTAGGCGGAGAGGCAGGCAGAGAGAGGAGGAAGCAGGCTCCCCGAGGAGCAGAGAGCCCGACGCGGGGCTCGATCCCAGGACCCTGGGATTACGACCCGAGCCGAAGGCAGAAGCTTTAAACCACTGAGCCACCCAGGTGCCCCATCTCCCAACCTTCTTGAAGGAAAATTGCTTTTCTTTTATTGCCTTTCGGTATTTAGTGTTAGTGATCCGGTGTAGAGACAGTTCCTTCAAACTGGAATTTCCAAGTGTCCTGTATATTAGCATTTTATAAGTGTGAAGTTCCACGCCATTTAGCAAATAGAGTAGAGCTTTGAGCTTCAGCATCTTGAGTGGACCGGCCACCTAGAGCCTGCATCTGTTAGGGGCTCTGATTCTTTGCTGGGTGACCAGCTGTCTCAACCTTGGTGCTTGTGAAGCTGGCATATCAGTTACCTGGTGTGTTGTTCTTCCACTTAGAGGATTAGTAAGTATCTCTCCCCAAGGAAGGCATCAGGTTGGCATGGCTGCCTGTGGCTGTTTGCAGCACCTACCCTGGGGGGTAAGGGGGAGAGTTTCACTTTATATACAAATATTTATCCATTTTCTTACTTTTTCCCCCTCTCTCCCTCTTGCTCACCTGCATTCCCCCTGCTGGCTTTTTCTCTTTCCCTCCCTCTTCCTGCCCCACCTTCATTCTTTCATAACAGTAAGAATATGTTACCTTTGTAATGAAAAACTAAATTCCTGGGTGGCTTAGTGGGTTAAGCCTCTGCTTTTGGCTCAGGTCATGATCCCAGGATCCTGGGATCCAGTCCCGCATTGGGCTCTCTGCTCAGCAGGGGGCCCTCTTTCCCCTCTCTGCCTCTGCCTGTCACTCTGCCTACTTGTGATCTCTCTCTGTCAAGTAAATAAATAAAATCTTAAAAAAAAAAAAAAAAAACTAAACTAAATTCCCAAACCTATCTGTTTTGATGGACTTCGGGTGGCAGTTAGGTCAGAGCAGCTGGAGCTCAGATCAACTGGCTAGACATTCTTGGGGTGAACAAGGACTCCTTCAAGGTTGTCCCACTTTCCTTTTCATCCATATTGTTTCTTTGCCTTATTTTCTTATTTCTAATATTTTATTTTGCTAATATCATAAACACCTTTGTATGATGCTCTAATAATCCTTTTTCCAGTGAAATGGAAGATGAGTTTCTCATTGCATGAAATGGATAGCCCATTTCCTAAGGTAGCGCTTCTTTATTTTTGGTCAATTATTCTTTTCATGTAGCAAACATTTCTGACTTTGGACTCATGGCGAGGGCAGAGTTTTTTCCAGTAAAGAAGAAAATACAAATCTCAAAGCAAAACAGACTTTGTTTTCTTTGGGTACTCACACGAGCTCGAAGGACATTCCCAAGAAACTGGTGTGGTCATGAGAGAAGGCGGTGGTCTTGGGAGACCTCCGGGGTGCTGAGTTGTGTGCTGACTCTGCCAGTTTCTTTTCAACTAATGGTTTTTGTTTTTGTTTTTTTAAGATTTTATTTATTAGAGAGAGAGAGGGAGCACGAGCAGGGGGAGGGACAAAGGGAGAGGCCGAAGCAGGCTCCCCTCTGAGCAGGGAACCCAGTGCAGGGGCTCCATCCCAGGACTCTGGGATCATGACCTGAGCCAAAGGCAGACGCTTTAACAACTGAGCCACCCAGGCACCAGCAGCTACGGTTTATTAAGAACTTGGGGCGCCTGGGTGGCTCAGTGGGTTAAGCCTCTGCTTTCGGCTCAGGTCGTGATCTCAGGGTCTTGGGATCGAGGCCCACGTCGGGCTCTCTGCTCAGCAGGGAGCCTGCTTCCCCCTCTTTCTCTGACTGTCTCTGCCTACTTGTGATCTCTCTGTCAAATAAATAAATAAAATCTTTAAAAAAAAAAAAAAAAAGAAGAACTTACTCTGTGCCGGGCTGTGTTTCACAGGATTGAACCTGATCTGCTCCTCGAGTGGCGCTGTGAGATACGTGCAGCTTCTCTCCCGTTCCGTGTGACGAACCCCGGGTAGGGACTTGCCCTGCTCTTCTTCTTAGCTGTGTGACCGTGACCAGGCCCACGCCTCTGAGATGGAGCCCGTGGAATCAATTCCACATTAAAAGCATTCTTAGCAGCAGGATCTTTCGCCTGTGAATATCGTGACCGGTCACTGCCCTTCCAGAATGCACAGCCCCTTCCTAAGCTGTGTTTTTCATCAACAGGTGGTCAAGAGGGAGGACATCCAGCAGTTTTTCGAAGAATTCCAGTCCAAGAAGAGGAGACGAGTGGACGGCATGCAGTATTACTGTAGCTAGAGCGGAGGCCGCCGCGGAGGCCACTTACGGTGCCGGGAATAAAAGAGGCGTATGTCACACCTGGTCCTGTCTCGGCCTCGCGCTCTCTCCCCTCCCTAACCACAGTAGCCACAGCGTGGGTGCCGATCACCCGGCCGGCCCCCTCCGCCTCCGCCCAGCGAAGCTCGGCGCGCAAACCGCAGGCCCGCCGCCCGACCACCGAGTAACCCCCAGGTTATTTGCTTCTGAGTTTTAAGGAGTTTGATTTGGTTTTGAGAAAGTAAACTGGTTTCTTTGCTAATGATATTTTCTTTAACTCCTGAACGTATCTCCCCCGTCGCAGAGCTGTTGTCTCCAGGGACCTGCTCTGCGGGGCACGGCAGGAGCCTTCTTCCTGTTTGCCAGAGCCCCGCTAGGTCCCTCACCCCTCTGATCGTGGTGCCTTGGGTCAGCGCTTCCTCAGGCCTGGTCTCCTCTCCCACATCCCTGCTTTCTCCAGTGTGCTCACCGCAAAGAGGCGTCCTGAAACTTACTTCACCCAGGCCCAACCTTCACTGGGGCCGAGGGCCGATGGTTTTCTGGGCTGAATGTTGTCGCAGGCAGGGAGGTTGGCTGAGGTCAGGATCGAGGAAGCCAACCTTCGTTACGATTTTTACTAATAAATTTCAAGTGAAAATTTCGTTCACAATTCTCTTGACACTAGAATATTAGCATTTCCGTACTGTAGTGCTCACAGGACTTCCTGGAGAAAATTCGCCAGTGTACTAGTCCCTTTTCTGCTGCCTAGAAAACAGACCGGGTACTACCCTGTGAAATCTTGGTGGTTTACAGAGTCCTCTGGATTTCTTTATATTATCAGGGATATTCATAAGCATATAGTAAAAACGGACCTATTTTGATATTATTCTGTTATGGAAATGTTCTTAGAACCCCAGTAAATTATTATTTTTCCCCTAAAATCTGTGTTGAAGAAAAAAGATACTGGTTTAGCTCCCTTGTAGCGAGCAGGGCAGTGAGTATCCTGTTTTGGAAGAGGCAGACGGTGTGTGAGAGATTCCCAACTAGGCCCTAGGCTGCACGAATGATGAGCTTTATGTAAATAAAAGTTAATGTCCACAGCTGGTTCTCTAATGACCATGAGATCTTCTTTTGAAGAACCTTCTGGACGGTTGTATAAAACCCCATATTTGAGGGGAAGTCCTTTTGGTTGGTATGAAAGCGCTTTATGGCCCTGAGTCCATGTGGAAAACACCTTTGATAAACACAGAGCCTCGGTTGCTCTCCCTCGGGAGCGACATGGTCTCTGCTGACAAGAGATGACACGCTTTAAGGTATGTGACTCTAAGCCTCAGAGGCTTCGGGGCCACAAGGGAGCATTGATTTCCTTCTGTGTGTCCAGCCATGGCCAATACCAGTCACTGGATGAGATGAACTGGGCGTAGAGAACGTCGGGGCCTCACAGCAATGGTCCAACCCCTGGTTTTCTGCATCAAGACTCCCAACTCCAGATCCCCATGAGGAGTGGTGTGTGGAGCTCAGGGAGCCTGTGGCCACAGGACATGCTTGTGTGCCCGGCGCTGGTCTTGTAGAGAGGCTAGGTTGCCAGGCTCGGGGCATCTCTGAGATGGCAGACAGCTGGGGACCCTCATCTGAGTCTGAGGACTTGCACCTGTCCCATGCAGGCTCGCGCCTGGACGCTGCAGTGGCCCACAGGGTCTCCGCCACCCCGGCGTCGGCTCCATTGGCCACGAGGTTCCTGGCCCCCCAGGACCGCCATGGAGGCCGTGTGTTCCTGGCCGGCACAAAGTACACTCCTCCCGGGGCTGAAGGGCTCCTCCAGAAAGGTACTGACCCTTCTTTTACATTAACCAGAAAACCTCCTTTTTTAAACCTATGTTCACAGCTAGTTTTCTTACTGACCGCGACGGACTGTCTCTTCTTGTGGAGACGGATTTTGGCCAACGTGTGGCAGTTGACATAAATGCATGTTTTATGCAAGGCAAGAATATGGTATTAGTTGCTTTTAAGGAACTCTGGCAGTGTATGTGCGTTTTTGTAGAATTGTTACTGGACTTACAATGACATACTTCAATCAGGTTTCTGTAAAATTTAAATAAAACCGGTTCAACAAAATAATGGCGTTACAGGTGGTTCTTAGTCCTATTTAAATGTGCACAGCGCCGCCCTCCCCTGCAGTTATAAGGGAGATGGACGGAGTGTGAATCTAGCAGCCATTCTGCCCTGGCTGGCGTCCTGCTCAGGCAGAGGGACTGGGAAATTTCTCTCCTGCTGTTCTAGATGTGGCCTGAGCTGAGGTCTGTCAGCAGGGGCCCCCGCTGGCTTTAGAACCCCTCCTGTGAGGGGTGTCCCTGATTCCTGTTGGGGCCTCAATGAGCAGGAGGACGAAGGAAAGGGCTTGGGTTGTGACCGAAGGCAGTGTGTTCAGGGACTGCTCCGTGTGGAAGGAGAGAGGCCAGGAGCCCATAGTCTGGGGCAAAGTTGAGGTCCGCCCACACTGTAGCTCTCATCTCAAAGGTAAATATGAAAACAAACCCAAAAGCCAACGCAGAGGCCCATCTTTGGCCTCATCCCAGCTCTTGCCGCTGTGGGAATTATCCAGACTCGTGGTCATCAGCATGGCGAGCTGAGCTCAGGTGAATGAAATGCTGTCTATGGCCCCAAAGCTGCTCACAGTTCTGCAAACTCAGGGTTACATAATCCGCAGTGCCCAGAAAGCGGCAGCTCCCCCAGCTCCCGGATGAAGGGACCCTACTAGGGCGGGAGGAAATTGACAGCAATCCAAGGACTGAAGGACCTTGATGGTGACCTATTTCTGCTCCCCAGTGAAGAAGAGTGTGGTCTGGGGAACGTGGGAAGTACGAGGAGCCAACCCAGTTCCCAGAGGCCAGTGAGGCCGTCTCCCAGTCAGATCGCCTTGAAGTGGCTGCTGGAGGCAAGCCTTGGCCTGAGGAGGCACGTAGCACTTGGCACTGGGCCAAAGCCAGATGTTGGCTTCTTGCCCCCCTGAACCACTGGGCGTCAGATAGTGTGTGTCCCCTGCTTATAATCACGGGATCTCTCGGTCAGAAGGAACCTGAGAAATCACCCAGCCTCCCCTTCTGTCAGGACGGGAGCTCCTCCCTCACGGCTGGTCCTCACAGGCGCCCAGTGCCGGTCTTGGCCAGTGGGTTCCCCTGTCTCCGTGCTGCTGGGGGCAGTGCCCCAACTTTCAGTTCGCTCTCTGCCCTGCCCCTTCCCTGCCACGTGATTTGAGGGGCACTGACCCCACTGCTCCCAGCTGCTGGCCTTATCTTGTGAACACTGGAAGGGTCAGCCTTTGGAGGGGTCAACACCGTGGAAGGCAAAGAGAAGAAAAAGATTCAGTGATCCAGACATGGAGCCACGGGATTAAGCCTTGCCCGAAGCTTGCGCAACTAGTAGACTTTTCTGCAGCAGAGAACACTTTGGTGGTTCCCTTGGAGGGACAGAATGCTCCCTGCCCCACATGGCACTCAACCCCTTTCTCCCAGTCCTTGATGTATTTTCCTGAACAAAAAGGCTAGCTGTTGCTTCTCGACTTTTCCATTGGCCTCCCATCCATATCTTTGGTCTTCTCTCAGGGATTCCTCCATCTGGAATGAGAGAGATGTTCGTGGCACTCTTGGGCACCTGGCCAAACAGCCCTGCCCTGATGCCCCCATCTGGAGACTCCCACCTGGGCTTCTCCTCAGCCATCTTTCCTCCTGTGTGGGGCCCATGGCTCATTCGACTCTGTTTCCCCTCCTAGCATCTCAGCCTCCTGGCTTCCCTCTCTTGCCTCTGCCTCGGGCCTGAAGGGTCCTCAATGCAGCTCACCTGCAGCCAGTTTGAAAAGTTGTGTCCCTGTGTTAGGGTCCTCCGGAGAAACAGAACCAATGGCACATAGACACACATCTGTATGGAGACACACACTTGCATACATATGACATGTTACCCCGTGTGTACCATAGGTGTTGTCCCCCCACAGGAACAGAGGCTGAGCAGTCCTGCGATCTGCTGTCAGCTGCAGGCCCTGGAAAGCTGATGGTGCAGTTCCAGTCCACGCCCGAACACCCGAGAAGGAGGGGAGCCCGTGATGCAACCAGCCGCCAAGGCCCGACAGACCCGCCCAGTTCAGGAGAAGATCCAGGTTCCAGCTGGGACGGCCGGGCGGAGAGTCCGTGTTCCCTTCCTCTGCCTTTTTGTTCTCTTCAGGAGCTCAGCAGGTGGGACGGTGCCGGGACCGCCCCCCCTCCCCCGCCGTGGAGGGCCACCTGCCAGACTGGTCCCTCCATTCTCGTGCTAACCGCCTCGGCAAGCGGCCTCACACTTGGAGAGCACGGAGGCCAGGGGCCTGGACGCCCCACGGCCAAGTTGACACAAAATTAACCATCCTAACAACCAACCTTCTAGCTGGTCTCACTCTACCCCATGCCCTTTTGTCTGCAGGGTCCTGGGAGCTCGTACCCTGGGATGAGCAGTGGCCTGGCCTCTGCCTACTGTCCCGTTCTCTCTGGCCCCAGGGCACAACACTTCCCACTGTGGGAGGCCCGCTGGGGGCCCCCGGTGGGGGTGGGCAAGTCATGTCCAGTGTGTGGGGAAGGGTTCTCTCGGCTCCCCCAGGAGAGCAACCCCCCAGTCCACCATTTTGTCTCCAGCTCTGGGCCTGGAGCTATTAGTAAAATGGCAGCAACTGGGAAAATAGGGAGCTACTTAATGACAGATGCGCCTTCTCCACAGGTTTATTTACAAAAACTGTGGAGTCACAAGTCACTCATTTCATCCCCTAGGTTGAGGGGGCCCCTTCCCTTGGCGACCTCTCAGTGGCAGAAAGGGAGACCCGAGACGCTATTCACTATTTCACGTTGTCCTGGCCTTAGCTGGGGGACAGCAGTCATCTAGCTGGGAATTTATTTGTTTCGGATCTGCCCTCCTCACTAAACCATAAATCCAGTGAGTCAGGAACTGTCTTCCCAGCTCATTAATAAAATGCTGGAGGCTGACCCAACGCCTGGCCCGGGGCAGGAGCTCCATCGTGCCATGGGCAGACAGGGTGTGCTCGCTGGTGTCCAGCAGCACTGAGCACGGCCGTGAGCTGGAAGCTTCTGTGAACGTGATCGCACTTCACTCTCACGGTGACCCTGAGAATATGGGTGTTCTGAGATGTAGGAACTGAGGCTCCGAGACGCAGATGGTCCACGGCTGGCCCAGGTGACTCGGGATCAAAGGCAGCCTCATGGTCGGTGAGGAAGCAAGGTAGAGGAGCAGAGACAAGCCCAAGGTCACTCAGCGGGAGCGAGGCAGGACCCTGGGCCCCTTTCTATGGATTTGATTCAGTGAGTTTTTGTGTTTTTTTGTTTTGTTTTGTTTTGTTTTAAGATTCTATTTACTTATTTCAGAGCGAGAGCACAAGCAGGGGAACGGGGAGAGGGACAAGCAGATTCTCTGCTGAGCAGGGAGCCCAATGTGGGGCTTGATCCCCGGACTCTGGGATCATGACCTAAGCTGAAGGCAGACGCT